GATCATTTCTATCCCATCCAACATGCTTATATAAAGATTAAATAAAAATACTGTTGAATCTAATTTAAAATTAACAATACATCTTATAAAATAATGAAATAATGTTTACTTAAAAATTTCATCAAAGTCTCGTAAACTAAACAACAGTGCTCACACCAAAAAAACTAACAACGACAGAAAATTGGTATGGTCATCACAATTAGAGATTTATGTACATACAAATTTCATCACAAAGTTAAAAGACAATGTTTGTTTCGCATTTTACTAAAAACCCAGATAGTAAGAAAAACTCATAGAAGATCAAAAGTAGTTCTGATTGGGTTCCATTTCTCAGGGCATTTGTTGAGCTGTAATAAAATCTTCTTCATGCCTCCAAATAAAAAAAGCCTTACAGGCACTGCTGCAACATGACATCACAATTTGAAGTAATAAAAAATTTTAACATGGAAGAACAACTGTGCCTGCTAATAAACTGGTTAAAACAAATGCATTAAAGTACGAAAAATATTAGTCAATAACCTGAAAGTTAAAATGTTCATAATATTACAAGACAAAAATATAGTATCTACAATGTTTTTATATTTGAAGCAGTGCAAAATAGTATTGGTATTAGTATTATTTAATATTGCATTTTAGTTTTTCTTAATATGACTCCTGAGCAATTGTTGATAACTTTAGCAATTATTTTTCTCACTGATACTGGCACTAAACAATGATTCCTAATTAAGATATATCTATATGTCATCAACCTAGACAATAGAAGAATAGAAAGACTTGAACGGCAGTAACAGAACGTTAGTCACACAAAAGAAAATACTGAGAATAGAGTAAATGAGAAATTACTGGTCTTTTATAAGATAATACTTGCGAATGGACAAAAGATATGCGTTTTCATATTCTTGAAATCATCGGATAAATAACAAGATTCTTCAGAGAATTGAATAATAAATCATTATATCTGCTGTTAGTCTTTAGATATCAGCACACATATCCTTATAAAAAATGCTCTTTTAGTTAAGTTATAATATATGATGATTTGAGTATTATGACAAGTTTTTTTTTATAATTTTCTTCAATTTAAAATTGTCTTAATTTTAAAAAAAATTTCAGCTATCTTACCTATTCTTAAAAATTTATTAAACTTATCATGTTGAAGTTTCTACCACATTTAAATATTTATATAATTGCTAATTACGACATCAACGAATGTTGTCTATGTATTTCTATTCCTGGCGACCCCCGTATGTAATTAATTAATAATATATATTAATATGTTAACATATAACGTACGATGGGGCAGAATCCCTCACCTTTGTTTTCGGGAAATCCTCGTAAATATCCGCGCAACGGGTTAAGGGTTCAATTAAAAGCTCGTAATTCATGCGGGATTAGATCTAATCCTTCTGGACCATGGCGCTATATTAATAAATCTGTTGCACGAGCCGAATGTTTATATCGCAATTAACATTATTACGTGACCGAAAGAGAAAGGGATGATTAAAAATGTGGAATTTTACACACTTTGATTGAATGGATCGTGATTAATTGCTTCTTTCATTAATTATATTTTGGAGGACATGGAAAGGTTTTGGAATAAATTTTAGTAGTCATGCTCAATAATCGATTCTAAAGGTATTATTTTTTTATTGTAATATATTAAAATTAATTTATTATTATATATTAATATTACAAATGTATTTTGTTAATCAAATCGACCTAAATCGCATATATATTATTTATATTCTACGTTTCATTTAATTTTACCAGTTTGTAATACTATTGAAATTAAAAAAAAAAATTGTATTGTATTAATTGTATGCAAGGATTTAAACAAGAATTGGCTTATATTCAATAACAACTGAAAACTGACTTTCGCCTTAAAAATGCATTATGTATTCTTCAGCATTTCTGCTCCTCTCAAATTTTACTATTTATATATAACTATATTCTAATATTTTTATACCATAAAGTTATGTTATTATTATTATAAGAATATTATCATTCACCTAATCTCGATTCCATCCGACAAATTAAGATCCTCAGTTTAGTGCAAGTGACAACCCAAAATTTAATGCTGAAAATATGATTTTAATAGGAGCCATAAATCAGAGTACACTTGCCTTATAACATTAGTCTGTTAAATTATAGCTATTTTAATAAAATATATCTTAGCATAAGGCATAAATTTTATTACTGAAAACTTTGCTGTCATAGACGATATCTGGAATTACGCCAGCTTTCTCATTCACTGTTATAAATCATCGATTTTTTAATCAACTTATTGAATTCTCACTGGGTAAATAATCAAAGACCTACTAATATTAAGGTTTTGCTGTAATATCTAGCTATAAGTAGATTGAAAACTGTTATATTTTTAATTTATTGCTCTAATAAACGTGATCGTTATTTATTAAAAATTGGCAATGTAAAAAATATTGAGCATCACGCATCTTACGTTATGAGTAATTGTAGTAATTTATTATTGATTGTAACTGATATATAAAATTATTATATTTTTTTATGACTATTGTTTACAGTAAAAGCTATTTCTCAATTTTATCCTGTACATCTGTTACAATTATAAGAAAGTTACAATAATCAATATCAATTCTGCGTTTTTTATCTTTTTTTTGTGTGTCCAAGTAAATCCGTTGCACTGGAAATGAATTTAAATGTTGAGAGAACAGTAACAATCAATACTTTTAACTAATTGTTTTAATAATTATATTAAAATTGTTTAAATTAATAGATGTTCTAATTTATCTTTCGGACCGGATCGCTCCACCGGATCCTTCGCGCGTCTTTAATACGCAAGTGTTGCGCGATGTAGGTCAAATTTGCATCTCCCGATAGGAGAACTAAGAAAATATGTTCTTGAATTACCCTAGAGAAATTGTAAAGATCTAAAAGCCAAGTTCTAAGCATAAGCTTCGCTGAGCACACTCATATTATACAGAAGTTTTCAATATGAAAAGATGATGTTGGCTTATGCTCTATAAAGGGAAATCAAGTATCATTAACATGCGTCTCCGTTTTAGAAAAGTATTTCAGTAATATATATATATATATATATATATATATATATGTATATATATATACAACATACAACTAAGTACACATAACATACTATTTATCAAAAACATTTTTGATTTTTCTTCGTACACCATTTACACAGATATTATTACTAAATATCAAAACAAAATAACTATATCAAAACAGATGATTTTTGAATTAATTTGAAATAAATTCAATAAAGTCTTAAATTAATTTGTGATATTATAAACACATTGTAAATTGCTGGTCATCGTCTACGAATTTGGCCCTCTGCTAATATATGTTCTCTGCGTTTTCGTTCAGAAATTAGGTTTTTATAAAATATACATTTAACTTAGTACTTGCGAATTCCATTCCATATTGCTTTTACGATATATTTTTAGTATCCGAGTTTTTCACGCTTGCCCGATAAATATCTATCAGTAATTAGTTTCAACAAAACAGTTCACAATGAAGGTTGCAAAAAGAGGTGAGTGAAAGTACGTGTGCGGAATGTTTCCTAGATAATGTGTTTTTCGATAAAAAACGTACAACCCGAAATTTAATTTTAATTGATTTAGAAATAATGTTTTAAATGGAAATATATTACACTATATACAAAAGTTCATTTTCTGTAACATCAACGTGAAAATTAGATTTTTAATTTGGAATTAAGTTTACGATAATATTAAAATGGTTTATATATGTGTGTATTGGAATACATCCAACTAAAGATTTGTTTTATAGGATTTTTTTTAACATTTTATTTTTAAGGATATATTGAACATTTTGCGAGCAGTTTTTGAGATTATTTAAGATGATTGAAGCTCATTGTTTTTGAAAATAAATTAATGTCATTTTTTTATAAACTTCGATATAATATTACTTACTTCTCGAAGAAGCATACAGGCACTCATTTAAGGATTTGTTGAACATTTTGCGAGCAGTTTTTGAGACTATTTAAGATTATTGAAGCTCACTATATATATCATTAATGGTCCATAAAATGTATACATAGTTGCAAATTTATTGTTTGCATTATATTATATATTAATCAATTTTTTATTAACATATTCACAGCATATTATTTATTTATTAATTCGATCAATTAACGACAATTAGAAATAATAATATTATTTAGACATATGCACATATAATAATATATGTGCACATATGTACACAAGCACATATGAAATGTCATTATATAGATAAGTACCTATTATATGAGTTTTCGCTATACATGTTGATGAAACTACAGTTAACATAAAACTATTAATTAATTATTATATTGAAGTGTTAGGATTGATTAAGATTTTTTAATTCAGTTGTTGTTTAAAATGAGTTGACCAATTTAGTAGTTTTTATTTGTTTTATTGTTTAATAATATGCTAAATATAAACAAAAAGCTAATTTTTCTAGATTGCTATTTCTTGATCTTGTAGAGAATGGCCTCTACAATTATAAAACATACGATATCTTTTCAAATAGTTTCATTTAAGTGTAATTTTTAATTATTAATAAACTATTTAAATTAAATCAATTCTAAAATTAAATTACAATATGGTAAGTTTTAATAAGTTGCCCCAAAGCACGATACCATGCACCAATAGTTTAAGTGTAATTTAGTGAACAGAAATTTATTCAAGTACGAGTGGTGAGGAACTCTGATTAATTAGATATTGAGTGGGCTGTAAATTATAAATATCTTGTCACCATGAGAAAAATGAATGAAACAACTATTTGCTTTACGATATATATTGATTTTTACTCTACAACCTTCTTATGTCAGGTATTAATAAATACAGGTATTCATATATTTATACCCCCTACTCGACAGGTCCCGGGTTAAATGGAAAAAACCTGGTCTTTATAATAATACTGATGAACAAATATATTGCAAAAATAAAAGCAATTTACTATTATTTCATGTATATTCAATTATTAATTTATTCCATTATCTCTTCCAGATGTTTGCCTTGTTCTGGCCGCTGCGACCGCTGCGATTCGAGTGGGCAGTGTCTGGCCGAGGGCGACGCCGTGATTCGGGCGATCGTCTTAGCTGTTCAGAGCTGCTGCTTGTTCTTCGTTTTTGTCTTGGCATCGCTAGTTTTCTATAACAGAAAATGCAAGGTAATTGCACTTAAACGACCTCTGTTTCAAGATTAGCGCTTAGGATGGCAAATTAGCAAAACTACGAATTGCACTTTGTGGAGAGATAATTAGTTTTACGAGATTACATCTTTGCTTCGCTCACTTTTGTTTAGTGGTTGAATAATACCTACCGCCGCAGAACAACAAATTCAGAGCAAATGTTAATGGGATTTTAGAATAATATAATGAGATGGGTTTAGAATGTTTTTTAATCATGTCGAAATTATGTCATCTAGAAATAAGATATCCATGTATTGAATTAATTAAATGCAGTGGTATTTCTATTGAATTTAAGGAAAACAATGTTTCAACATATAAAATATATTATAAACAATGTTTTTGTACGAGAAGTCTCTTATCCAGGCATGGTTAATACATATAAAAGCGTTATATAGATATTTTGAATTACACAGAAATCTAAAGAGGCGCCATTTGAAGTCTGCTGTATTGTATATGTAAAATTTGTAATTTTAATTTATCAACACTTGAATAAACCTAACAATAAATAGGGCTAAATATTTTTATCATCATTTCATACGATGACACATATATATATATATATATATATATATATATGTGTGTGTGTGTGTGTGTGTGTATTTGTGTGCATGTATATAACGATCAATGTCTTATTTCTTTGCAGACTATAGTATCTGGAATGTGGACTTTGTTGGAGACAATACTTTTAGGAATATTTTTATTATATAGCACTGTAAGTATTAACTATGTTAAATAATGTAATATGCTTAATTTTCAAATCAATTTCATGCTATTATTTTATAAATGATTTAAACGTTAATTCAATTATGTACATTTTTTTATTATTCTAACTTCTATTCCTTGATAGATTGAACCAGCAACTTAGCCAGCTATTCGATAATGCAGTTATTTATTAACTCTATATTTTATGAGCATTTTATTTCAACTATCAATATTCTTTGTATTATCGTATCTCTGCTTTACGTGCTATTACTAATTAATAGTTTTTTTATAATTTGCGAGATCAATTTTCAGTGTTGCATTATAATCGAAAACCATATGTCCATGTATTTTAGAGCTTTAATTATTTTCCAAATTTGAAATGAATTTATCTATTTTAATATAAAAAATGAGTTACAAATTACAGAGTTACATTCATTCATTATGATGATACATATTCCAATTGACTTTTCTCTGGTACTTCGGTAGAGAGGCCTTTTAAAAGATATATACATTTGTAATATATTTTTTGTATATATATAAAATTGTTAAAATTAATCAGAAAATATTATAAGAAAATTTAGCACATATTTATAATTATAGTGTATGTCTTTTTATAATCTGAGGCATTTTCGTATTTATCACTCTTGTTAAATTTTTTTTCTTGGGGCGGTAGATCAAACGCAATTAGTACGTGGTTGCTAGTTAAGTTTTTATGTTAAATGGTATATACTTTGCCAAGCACAATAATCAAAAACATTTTTTTTTGGAAATAGTAAATGGTATAACAATTTATGATAGACATGTTTAATATAGTAAAAAAGGCATAGAATAATTGAACCAAAACTATTATTAAGTTTATTCATTCACATATCATCATTTGGAAACATTTGCTTAGTCTTCAAGCTTATTCAAATTAAATGACAAAAGTGTATAAAGAGACAAAAACCTATTTTAATATACAGTGTATTTACTTTATCAAATTACTGTTTTTAGTTTTTGTTATAATGATAAACAAGAAATATATAATCTCATTACAAAGTTAAATTATTTTGACTCGGTTCAATGGTAATGTATAATAAGAGTATATGACTATCTTCCTATATATGAAGAGTATATATGTGTATCTAAATATAAATCTTCCTATCCCGTTAAAATTTGCAATATCCTACTATTCAACAATATACATCAATATACTTTTGTATTTTCTTGCTTACAAATAATGTTAATAAAATATCATGATTCGTATATAGTGCTTTTTGCGATATAAATCTACATCTATATGAACATCAAATACACAATGGGCTTTAGAGTCGTGGTCTTTGTAATTAAAATCATATTAAGAAGGAAAACATCACAATCATTGATTGTTATCAATTGAAAATCAATATTCAAACTCATCTAGAAAAATTTATTATTAAATCCTGATGAATTATTGTTGATAGCATACTGTGATAAACGTTAATGAAGATTATTTCTTTTGAAATCAATATTAATTTAAAAAATAATCTTAAACTACTTACGTGCCATTGTGTTTAGGTAGGAATGCACTTTTTCTTGATTAAATTGTAATAAAAATGCATTATGCAACAATTAATGTATATGTAATATGTGCAATTAACTTATATGAAGTCTACTTCAATAGAGTTGTCTATTATTTAGTTATATTGAAACTTATTATATTTGTGAAATTTAGGCCATATAATATATACTTATATACATATATAAGTTCAATATTTCAAATGTCCTTTGCACTTGATATTAAAGAAATCATTCCTGAATTATTCTGTTTCAGAATTTCATCTAGGTTTGCTTCTAAGAATATCTTATATATGTTCAAATAAATCCACTCACCTCTCTGATGAAGGCATCAATTTTATATTTTTGAATAATTTTAAAATTTAGAGCAAAAGGTAAATTAACACATCAAATGAAACTCTCTCGCGTATCGGTGCAAAATACGATCCATAAAAGAAAATCTCTTCAGCGAGAACTTCTGACATATACTGCAAGAAGTTCTGAGTTTATTGTAGAAAAGAGCATTCATTTTATGAGATAGAAATCAGTACTTTTTGTAAATAATATAATTTTGAAGGATGCTAGTAATGGTAGTAAGTTCGAAGTAGTTTTTAGACTATAAAATCACGTACTCATATTCTGTGATATCTAAAGCTCAAGGCAGAAATTTTAATCGAACTTTCGTAATTCGGTTGGAAATGCATAACTAGCAAGACGATATTAAATTATTCTATTTATTTATTTATTCATTCAATAATTCATACAAAGACATTTATATATATATATATATACATATATATATATACATATATATTTATACATATAATCTGTATAGAAATTTTGTTTATTTTACCTTATTTTATATAATTTAGTACTATGGCTTTAATTCTTGAATCATACAAAATTTTATTACTACTTCTCCATAAGTGAATAGAATAAACATTTTTGAAAACGGCAATTTTATTTTTAAAAGTGACTATTAACCTTTTTGCTACGAATGACGTCTATGGCTTACATCTACATTACCTGTGTGTATGGATGTCGTCCAAGGACGACACAGTACGCTGTTCTCGTATAGGAACGATACTCCTGCGGAAAACACACTTGTGGCGAAAGGGTTAAACAGCAAATATTCATTTATAATTATCTATGTATATAAGTATTTCATATATGATCTTTTCTTACAGATATTAATTCGGTTTTTGCCAATATCTGCTGAAAGGTGCCTAGTGGAACCATGGTGCCGGGAGTTGGGCTTCGTCCTATGTTACGGAGCGATTGTTCTGAAGTTGTACCGACACCTCATAGAATTCAGGACGCGAAACACTCACCTTTGTGTCGTACCAGAAAAAGACTTATTGAAATATCTTTCTGCAATGGTAAGTAATAAAATCATTCCTTTTCATTCATATTTATTTCATGAAATATGGGATATATCTATAAGATAGAAATTTCTATTTTAAACTCCGAACAATAGTTTCGACAACTTGTTAAGTTATCATGTTTATTTGTATGTTTTACCATCTGTGATGCCATGGATTAATAATGTTTTTATATGTTATATTAGGATAAAAATTTTAAATTGATTGCCACTGAATGAAGGCTAAGATACTAGCCAAAACGTAAGGATTTTAAATCAAGTTTTGAAAACTGTCATACGATTCTTATTGATGTAACGCCGACTTTTTAACTCATATTAAATATATTTATTATCAACATCAAATTCAAGGCAATAATTCAAGATTATATATATATATATATATGTATGTGTTTGTGTGTGTAAATATATAGACAAATAAAAAGCATTTCTTGCTAGGTTTATTTATCTCCGCGAGTAAATTGATATAATCAAGCTTCATTTATAACGTTTCTAACGAAGGTAATTCAAACACCATTTCATGAAAATGAGAATAAAACTTGAATGCGAGTATTTTGTTGTATAAAAATATATATATATATATATATATATATATATATTTTAATATATATATTATATATATAATATATATATATATATATATATATATATATATATACGAGGTCTGTTCAAAAAGTACCCGGAATTTTCGTTTTTTCAAAAAAATATTTATTTATTCGTCTACATTAATGTGGTCCCCTTCAAAGTAGTCCCCCCCAGATATAATACACTTATGCCAGCGTTTTTTCCAATTTTCGAAGCACCCTTGATATTCACTTTTTGATATGTCCTTGAGCACTCTCAGCGATTTTCTTCAATCGAGGAAAACCGCCGTCCTTTCATGGGTCTCTTCAACTTTGGGAATAGGAAAAAGTCACACGGAGCCATATCTGGTGAATTTTTGCACTTTGCAACACTTTATTTCATTTTTTACGCAAAATTTAATACAAATTCTTTGACTTTTCAATTCTTCCATTGTAAAAATCGCCGAGCTCAGAAAAACACGTCGAACCTTAGCGACTACCACAGACAAAGTAAACAGTGAATATAACTGAAAATTTCATCATACTTTAGGGGCATGTATACCAACACAATAAAAAAATTTTGACAATCAGACACTCCAGACCCGCGAAATTTAATTATTAGTAATTCCGGGTACTTTTTGAACACACCTCGTATATTAATAGGGTGTCCCAGATCTTGACGTCATGTCTAAACGGGGTGATAATATTATGAGCTTTTAAGCGCAATTTAGAGCTTTGGTAAAATTATGATCGTTTTTGGATTATTGCGGTTAACTTTTATTAATTTCGTTAATTTAAACTTTGGAATCATAAACGTGAATAATATTTGTAGGATTACGGGTCAAAAAATATGCTAGTGCCTCATTTTTTCAAGTATTAAGACTTTTTGTTGATCTATGAAATTGAAACTTTTGAAATTGGTCAACTTTGATAGGGTTTTTTTTGGGCAAGTTCCATCAAAAAGTGGCAATTTAATCAGAATTTTAGAATGGTAAAATACTTGTTGAATTTAGTATTGAAAAATTTGGAGTAAAAAAATAAAAAAATAAACTTAAAAATAACACAATAAGCATATAGATTTCGCTCACATTCAGTTCAAATGTTTCTCTCTACTTGATGATGACATGATTTTCATTACAATCCTACTTTTTTATTACTTTAGATTTAAATTTATTTACTGTAGCATGGAATACCAAAAATGAAACTTTTTTACTAAAAATTAAACCGATTTTAACTTGGTTAATTACCTCTACCCAAGGATAAATATTAACATAAAAAATGCGAGCAAAGAACATGTAATTAACTTAAGTTTATTTGTTTTTTCTTGATTTTTTTTTAAATATTAAATGATAAAGTCTGCATGAAATCGAATACTCTCCAATTTTCCGTCGAAGCACGATTTTGTCTTTCACCCTTTGCATTTACCAAATCAATTTGCTATTATCATTTCGTTAAATTAATTTTGTTTATGGCTCGCTCTTCATAAATATGTAATTCTAAAGTATTCCAGGCGATTTTATCGCGCATTTCATTTAATGCGTGCGGAAATCTAAAAGAAATATAATAAACAATTTTATGACAAGGGCAAGCCGCCCTGTTTCGGCGCCAGTCGTAAAACTTTAACGCGCGGAAAAATTACTTATTCACAACGGCGAAAGTTGAAATCTACTTACCGTCCTGTAAGGAATAAACGTGATCAATTACCTGAAAAGGAAATATGATTATCTCATTACAAACCGCGTGTTGCTTGTTACTTTTTTGCAACAACTTTTCCGTGTAATTGAATTACATTTAACGTCACTTTTTTAAACGTAGGCGCCCCTGAAAATTTTCGCTTGGAAGGAAAAGTTTTATTGTGATTTATTTTTAGATTTTACTTCTTGTATATATGAGAATCATTAAATTTTTAATCTCTTAATTGATTAATGAATTTATTACGTGTATGATATTAGTGAAATAGTTACGTTTTACTTAAAATATTCTTATAATTTGTTCAGCCCGCTAGACTTACTTAGCAAAAATTAATTGATATTCACAAAAAAGTTATCTAAGAAACTAAGTAAATATTGTTAACTAAGAAATGAGTAAATATTGAGAGTAATTCAATCAAGATTTTTTTTAACAAATATTCTAGTCAAAATCAATAAAAATCAATTTTTAAAAAAAATCATTAAAATTCAGTTTTAAGAAAAATTTATAACTAAATTAATTTATCATTTGAATTAGTAGAATTTAATATTGCTTCGATATACTTTTGAATTATTTTTCCTATATTTTATTATAGCACTCATACAAACATAAACTATTAATCCATCCTCTACGACCGTCGTCTATGGACGACTACCTGTGTGTACAAATGTTGTCTATGGACGACATTCAGTGTGACAAATTTTACTTTGATATTTATTACTTTGTGTTAAATTATCGTAAATTGTAATTTGTTATTGTGATTTTTAATTTTCTAAGAGGTGTATTTTTTATTTTGAAATATATTTTTATTTTGAAATGTCCGGTACTAGGTGCCACTGTTTAAAATCATATTTTTTGATAGCAAAGTTTGATTGATAGTATTAATTATTTTTCAGTAAAGATTGCGGTTTTGTTAATTTAATTTGATTTCTAACTTTGTTATCTAACATAAATCATAATTTAATAAACAATTCGTAAAATATTTTTTGATTTATTTATAAATAACCTTAGGTGTCCGCCACTTGGGGACTTCCCCCTATTTGTTATAAAAGACATGGCTTTTTATGTAAGATATCACCGTGAATATTTTTGCATAAGATATTACCGTGAATATTATGAATATTATTATATTTATCATAGTTCATTTTCTACAGTTGTCTATAATTTTGACTATATACTGGTAAACATATAGATAGGTTATGAATGGAAAACAAAGTTTACTTTTGATTTTTGCGCAAAATGAGTAAATTAACACAAAAATATGAAGACGTGAAAACAGAAAGAAAATATATAATCAACAAATGCAATTCTTGATCTAAAAAAACAATTACTCCTTCGAGAATTGATTTACCGTCTTACTGCTTTCGATGCAACCCTTACTCTCAGTTCCGTCTTTTTCGAGTCATAATGAATTGAAGAACCTGAGAATGTTAATTAATCTAAGTCATTAAACGAGCAATCTATTTCCGTGTGGTCTATTGATATTGCAGTGTGATATATGTAGCATTCGCAATTATATCTTTAGGTAAACACAATCTTAGTAGTGCAGGTTCCATTCACTAAACTTTATCGATGTATAGTAGACGAACAACGCGTCAAAGACATAAGGGCAAACGTCAAAACCACCAAGTCAGGCAAGTTTGTTCAATGAACAATACTTCCCTGATGTATGATGGAGAAACTTGAAGCATTCTGAATTACTTATATGAGCAACGCTTGTCTCATATGTGCCATGATTTAATTGAAGCGAAATTGTTCGAATTAATTATAAGATTTATTACTATATTTTTATCAGGTACTTTAAGAAGGACATGCATATGTTTAGTGTAAGACATCACCGTGAATGCTTTTACAAATAGTTCATAATAGTTGATTTTCTACAATTGTTCATATACCAATGTGTATAAATATGAGTAAAATTTCATTTATAACTTTTGAAATCTTCATCTATTTTTGGTATCAAAGCAAATCACCGAGAAGAACGAGAGCAGTATGCGTTGGTGCAATTAATTTTTCGTGGTGCAATTCCCATTTTTGTGGTGCAAAAACGACTTTCAAAATAGTGTTGACTGACCCATTTAAAATTCTAACAATATCAGCAAGCATGCTATCAGCACCAATTCTTTGATTTTGTTGATCAGTAGATGTTCTTGGTCGTCTTTGATGTGGTTTCTCTCCAACGTGCTCTCGACCTTCTTTGAACAATTTGTGCCAATCAAAAACACTTGCCCTTGATATTAACTCTTCACTAAAGGTCTTTTGCAACTTATTTAAAACCTTTAAAATGAGCAGCGGCATCCGAGAGAAAAGGGATAATTTTTTTCTTTGTTCAACAGAAGCGTAACTTCTACACCAATAAACCAATTGGCGTCAAATTTATCACAGATGACAATAAAAGTGCTACTAACTTTTAAATTGAAAAAAAAAACATTTTTCCGAATCTACAATCCTGGAAGGTTCAAATTGAAAAGTCTTACCCATATTTTTATACAGTATTTTATACAGTAGTAAACCTGTATATACATATGCATATACAATCATTTATCTCAAAATCCAATAATATATATTTGCTTGTGTAAATACGAAATACTGCCACTAAATTGACGCCAATCAGCAATTTCAGCAATCTGATAAATATTTATAGAAATCGAAACCACTTTCAGATGGTGAGTTTTATGTGTTCTCAAATGTGGATATATTACAATTTTTATTATTAAATTTTGGTGAACTTTTCGTATTCGATTGCAACATATAATTGCATAGTAGATACTAATTTGTACCTGGTTGGTTTTAAAAACTTGGCATTTCTTAGACAGTATCGTTACTGAAATTCAAATTGAACATTTGTGCCTCACCATACCCTATATGTATTAGTACAAATTTTATCTCTATGATCCAGAAAGGATAAACTAATATCAAACATTTTGTCATATCTACAATGCAGATATCAGAGATTTTATAATCAAAATATATTCTGTGTAATCTATAAGATGGCTTTAAATGATCTTTTGACAAGATAAACTTATAAAGTCTATTATAAGGCTCAACAACTTTAACAACTAGATACATAAAAATTTTATTTAATTTGAACCTTTGGCTTTAAACAATGTTTTCTAAAATGTTTCACACTGAGACTCTGCAACTGGAAATATCGTAGTGTAATATCACAAACAAACAGTTATGAAAAGTGCATGTTTGCATGCAAGCTTTTGCTTTTAGTTTTGTAAAGCTAACAAGACGAAAAAAATATTTGCGGAAAGATGCGATGTTCTGCTTGTTTCTGTTTACTTTTTCGCACTGGCTGATTCAATTTATTTCGTGTTGCATACTTTTAGTTTGTATTGGATAAATGAAGCAAAATCCATAAACAATAACAAGAAACTAATTTGAAAAATTATCATCAATTTTAGTGTCTGTCCAATATATAATATTTTCGCGAAAATTAAGTATTCTTTGTGAAAAGAATAATATTTTTTGTCAGAAGAGATGAAAAAATAGTATTGATATTTCTATAAATAATTATCAAAGTTTGTTGTCAAAATTAATAATTTGAGTAAATATATTATTTATCGGGAAGTTTCATTATTAATTTATAATGAAGCAAATTTCATCGTGTATTTTAGTTGTAAAACAATGTTTCTTAAAATTTGTAATCATTAAAGTTACAGAACAATTGTAAGTCACAAATGTTCTTTAATTTAAGTAATTGGCCTGCTGAAATATATGTATGTTTAGTATTCAATTTTGCTCAATATTTCTGATGAAATTAAATTAAAGTTTTCCCATAAGATCTATAAATAACTCGATTTAAACAGTCGCGTGGTAAAGTAGCAGAGAAAATTGCATAACTATCATTAATATTTAGAAATATATTACAGCAGCTTTATATAGCCCCTAATTTATCTGCAATTTTAGAGAATGGAATTGAAAAACAGCAAAACAAATTGCATTCATCAATATAAATTACCCTTCGCCTTGTGACTTTAACCTTAATGTTATCGATTTTCTGGAAACTTGATTTACTCAATCTTGAATATTTGTGGTTTCTTTTACCTGGAAATTTAATTTATTGCTTCAAAACTGTAAATTTGATTGATTTGTTTTGTTCTGCCTAATAATAATTAAATAATTTGATAACCATCACAAACCGATGCAAGTGATTGTTTTGTTATGTTTTAAATTTCCTAGAAAAAATAGTAACAAATAAAATAAACAAAAGTAATATACGTATCAATATTGAATTATTGTATGAAAAAATAACTGCACATAAATATATATATATATATCATAAACTACAAATTTACAAGTAATAAATAATAAAATTATCATTTGCTCATTAGATATTTATGTGCCATACTCACGGTGTTTACTAACTTACTTTTACCCTTTTTTGTGCCAATTGTATCAATGTCAAAAACTATTGAAGTAAAATATGTTATACACTGATAATGTCATATAAACTTGGACGGAGTACAATACCCTACCTAGGGTAATATACTCAAGTAATTAAATGTATTGTACATTTTTGCCTGTCAAAAAAAAACTTTGCCATTACTTATGTCTACATTAGATGTTATAATTACCCTACTGTATCATAACTTTTTTTACATTTTCTGAGAATATAGTCTTCATGATCATCAGAATGGCAACCTATGTACATATCTGTAGACATAAATACTTCAGCGAAGTTTGTCTTGCCTATAAAAATATTTTCAGTCGTAATTACTTTAAATATATAAAGAAGTACCTTAAGTATATAAAAAACACCACGACATCTTTGGATTTTTTATTTGTTTTCTTTATTATAATTATTTACGAGGTTTGGCCAATAGCAAATCAGCATTTGTAGCTTAATCCGTCATAGTTTAAAATTTGAAAATTATTTAATGTTACAATGAGTAAAAATTATTTTATACATTATGCATTATATACGCTGATTTCAATTATACCTTCAAAGTAATAAAATTTATAAATTGGCTTAATTGAATTTTGTATTTTTGTGCATGTAACAGACGGTTTTTCATTGAAAACTTTAACATGTTTAATTATTTATCTCGAACAGTTCAATTATCTGACTAAAATTTCTGTGTCTATTATCCTTTCTTGGCCAATATTTAAAACCTTTCTTGACTAATTTTTTACCATTAACGATAGTATTGTACATTTTATTTATTACTAATTGTTGTATAATATAGATATATTAGAGTACATTAAATTAGTTATGTTAATTTCGACGTACATGTATTTTGAATTTCATTAAAAACGAAAATTATTTAAGTTTTCAAAATTAGCTTTATTGAACTTTGATATATTCAAGCTTTTAACAACCAATTTTCAAGTAAAAACTCTTGAACATATTTAATTTTCCGCCCAAAAAAAGTTTAGAAATTCTTTTATAAATTTCGAAAATTCATTTCCCCCTTTTCCAGGTCGTGGCAGCACTTTGTTACTTGGCCGCCTTCACCGCATCCAGCTTAGACTACATGGAGCATCAAAGTATCGTCGAAGTAGGGTCCACGATCGACGGACTTAAGTTCAGCACTTGCAAACCGCTCAGGTAATATATCGACACGAAGGATACTAATACACAAAGTTCTGGGGACAAGATATATTAAATATTTAATATCTTACAGATGGGATCTCGTGACACAGGCTGTAGAAATGCTTATACTGGCAATCGGGATACATCTGAGCTATGCGAGCAGAAATGCGGACACTCAATTTCAGGTACGTTCGCTCATATTGATTTTAAAAACGCTTACGGATAAATTCAAAGGAATAAGTTCGTGTATGACGTTTGCCGTCGATGTAATATTTTGTGTTCTCTACGTCTGTATAAATATTTGAAAAGCGTTCTATAAGCAATATCAGAAGTAAACATGGGCACTATATGAATTTATGCAAGACGTATACGAGAATTTATTTGATGAAATTTTATTGATATTTATATGGAGTGAGTTATTTTTTCAGTCTATGATTACTTTAAACTCTTTCAGAATTTATAAACTAGCAATGAAATTGATTATAAACAACGCTTGGCTTTCTACAGAAAAACGTTTATTTAATGCTTACAAGGAGAATCTCATTGTCAGGTTAATACAGCTACATTACTCAACCGGTGCAAAATATAAATCCCATGGGTACATCTTTTACAGAGATTATAACCCTGACCTGGTATTTTGATAAAAATATTTATCAGCAGAATTTGAATAACTATTTAATTAATTTATCTCTTTGAATTTTGTTAATTATTTTTATTTATTCGAAAACTAAACAACGGTGCTCACAACCAAAAAAATAAGTCAAGAAAGAAAATACTTTTGTTAAGGATTTTCAAACAATGCCGTTTATCTCCCAATAGCAACTTTGTGAGAACAAGGTGATGACTGGTTCATATCTTTTAACTTTCAAATATTATTGGTGAAATATTCTATACTCTACTTTTTTTCTAACTATCGGTGGTGGATCTTTTTACCCAACGATGTTATATTTTGATAAATGATCTAGTAATAATTTCATCTTATATCAAAACATGAATTATGACTTCTATAAGTTTTGTCTTAGTATGTGCTACTTTCAAATAATGATAGTTTAAGTGTTTATATGGGAAAGTCTCTATTTAACACGTATTATTTAAGCAAGTATAAATCTTTTCATTTCAAAATACAAGTGAAAGGGGCACTGGGGGCGCATATATGTCATTTATTCCAATTATTTAATTTTGTTCTGTATGAGTGCTAACGGTCACTTTATACCTCCATTTTTCGTATTTCCTGGTCAAAGAATGAAAAGCTTATGGTGAATGCACCAGCTGAGAGCATCGGTGTGGCCCAGCCTAAAGGATGGATGAATAGTGACTTTTTTGCAATAACTAAGAATATTGGTGCAGACATTTCAGAGTGTGGAGATGGCTAAATATGTGATCTATGCAGGTTATTTTGAAATGTCCGGTACTAGGTGCCACTGATTAAATTCATATTTTTTGATACCAAAGTTTCATTGGTGGTATTAATTATTTTTTAACAAAGATTGCGGTTTTGTTAATTTAGTTTGATTTCTAATTTTGTTATCTAACATAAATCATAATTTAATAAACATTTTGTAAAATATTTTTTGATTTATTTATAAATAACGCCAGATACATCTATAGGGACTTCCTCCTATAGGTGTATCTGGCGACGAGTTAATTGTACATTGCGAAAGTAATAAATAATAATAATAATAATGTATTACTATTATAATATATCAAATATTTACTTTCACAGTTTCCTTCATTCAAGGGTGCCCATAAAAAAATAACGTGGGTATATTAACATCGCGTTACCTTCCCATGTGCGCGCAATAACCATAACGAGATTCTCGCAAGTGAAATAATACTTTGCCTTATTTGAGAACGACTCACATTTTCTTATTACTATGAAATCCTTAAAATACACATTGTCGTTCCCAAAAAAAATGTTAAAGGTGACGTGTCTCGCATAATGTAATGTTTGCTGTATATACGCAAGTTAAATAGAAAATGCACCCCAGTGTGTTATTTATAATTGCTTGAGGGGATACAGAGCATCTTCAGAAGACATTGTTTAGATATAAAATCGAGGTATATATATTAAGATTTAGATGTTGTGATTTTGTTGAATAAATTTTGAGAGTATTTTAACGTTTTTTGATATTTTATAGATCATGTTCTAATTCTAATGTAAAGTTCATTTTACTTCCAATATACTTATCATAAAATTCTGTTATATAAGCTTTCAAGTTTAAAAATGCTAGAAACAAAATTATTGTCATAAAATTTCAGCAATTTTTTGCTTTAAATGAAAAAAAAAACGTGTATTAGATGTTTTGGATTGATTTTTGCTTATCTGTGATGCAATATAAAAAATAAATGATCTAATTTTTATCTACTTTGGTTTCAATATGTTTTTGCCTGACCATAAATTGTACAAAATCGCCGGAAAATAAATAATGGATTGCCTATATTTTTATTTGGTCAATTAAAATAAATATTTACATCTTTTCCAAATTCATTATATATAGTTTATGAATGTTACAAAATGAGGTACCAATTTATATTTTGCAATCAAACTATACTGTTTATATGGACTACTGCGTTCATCAATTTCACATGTATTGTTTGAGACAAGTAATTAATCTCTAATTGGCAACTTTTTTTTTATTTATTGTTTTGGATTTATATATAGTCAATCATAATAAATGTCGACAAATTTAAAAATCATAAAAAATATATACGTTTCTACCGATATTTACGAATGTTACAGCCGATTTGTTTTTTGCGACCAAACTATACTATTTTAAAGATATCTTATTTAGTAATAGTTATTTATTGAATATATTTGATAAAACATGGATTTTTGTTTGATTTTAATGCAATATGCCCTTGTTTGGCCGAAATGTAAAATAACAGTACATAAACAAGTTGCATCGACCGCATCATTTTATTTTTTTAACTTTCTCGGCGTTTTGAAGGTTTCTGAACTTTTTGGCATCTCTCAGAAAAAATGAATGTGTGTGTGTATGTATGTATGGATACAATTTTTCGTCCACGTTTTCGGCGCACGGATCAACCGATTTAAATGGTTCAAAAAACATTCGATTCCTATTGATAGGGAGATGTGCTGATTAGTTTTTGGCAAAGGCAAGTCCAGCAGTTACGGAGATAAAGAGCAAAGAGTGCGGAAGCTGAATGTGTACGGAGCTGAATGTGCAAAAAATGACAGTTTTTGAGAGAACTAAGCTAAGTGATTCAAAAAACTTTCTGCTTGTCTTAATAAAATAATTGATTTTGGAAAAAAAATTGTTTCAACTTTGCAATTCAGTTTATATAATTCTTATAATTATTAGACAATGTTACAATATTTAAAATAATCTATTTGAAAACTTTCAGTATTCCTCGATCATTTCGTTAGGGTATGGGAAGTTCCAGCAATTTGCCTTAAGGCACGATGCCATACACCCCACTAGTTTCAATTTAGCTTTTATCGATGGTTTCAGATTTATATATGTTTAATGAAAATAAATATTTGCATTTGATGCATACAGATATTCATGAATGCGCAAGTAATTTTTTTTGCGACTGAATTTTACTATTTTTCTGGACTACATTATTCATCAATTATACGATCTCTGCTTAAATTTGGTCAGAATATGGACAATGCTTGATCCAATTATGGATAGCTTTCAATTCAAAATGCTCTTGTCTGGTCGTAATTTCTACAAAATCACAGGACCATAAATAATTTTATAAATTCATACTGATACAAATGAAAATTACAAAACGTTACTATCGATTTGTAGAGACTACTGGGTTCATCATTTTCAATCGTTCAATTCAATTCAATTGGACATCGCAATAAAATGATCTCTACTTATCTCTGGAGCAATATATCGAAAATAATTGATCAAATTCTGATTTTTATCTGCCTTCAATTTAATCCCTCTTTGTGTCTGACCGCAATTTCCATAAAATCGCTAGACTGTTATAAATAAGTCGCATGGACCGCGCCAATTTTGCTCCTGTGAGATATCGCCTTTGTTTGGCGCGGGTCAACGGAGCAACAACTGGCTCTAGGCGAAACTTCTCCTGACAATAGGAATTTATGTCATCCCTTGCGGTGTATAAATACTATCAGAACGGGTATTAAATAAAAATTTATTGGTTTCACTATAGCACAATATAGATGGCAACTTGTGTTTTGCATCATAAGGATTCATTCTTCAAATTTCAATTGGATTTTATGTAGTTAGCGTTCTAACGTGCTGGCCTTACATAAATAAAACCTTTTATTTCATTAAATTGAAAATGTGAAATAAAAACGTAAAAATGAATAATGAGTAAAATGTATAAAATATTAAACGGATTTAATATCAGTTAAAGGTATAACTATGTGATCTGTGGTAAAATATTACATTACTTAAATTTGCAAAACAAACATTACAAAAGAGTCTTAAATATCAAACAAAAAGGTTTACAATATTTAGAATGCATATCTGTTGGTTTTAGAACGAGTAGTTTGAATGCATTATTTTATTTTATAGTACATATATTTGTGTGTATTAAAAACGTTCGTAATTTGTATTTGTAAGTAGAATGGTGTATTCTTAAGATTTTAAGAAAATAAATTTAACTCTACACGAGGATATTATTTTTATAAAAAAAAAATCTTTTTGGTCAAGTAGTAAGAATCCTATCATCCTTAATTAAATTTTAACATTATTTTTACTAGATAATAGTTATATTATTTTTCTCGTATTCTTAGCGTCTATGCACATTAAGTGATTTATATGATTGTTTCTGCATCTGAAATTCTATTTTATAAAGAAAGTGCATGATATTACATTTAATTTCGAATTGATCTAGTTTTATTATTTCTACATCTCCCAGTCATTACTAATTGAATGTTTTTTAGATCATTCAAATCGGATGCTCCGTCCTCTCAAAAACTCGATTTCTATTTTCTGCACTCTTTGCTCTTTATCTACGTAACTGCTCGACCTGCCTTTGTCAAAAACTAATCAGCACATCTCCCTATCAATAGTCATCGAATTTTTTTTCGAACCATTCAAATCGGTTGATCTGTGCGCCCGAAAACGTGACTAGAAATATGTATCCATACATACATACACACATACACACACACATCCATTTTTCTCTGAGGTATGCCAAAATGTTCAGAAACCTTCAAAACGTCGAGAAATGTAAAAAATTTCAATTTCGATTTTCGGCCCGTTACAATAACTTACCCAACTTACCCAAATTAAGATTAAATTTTATGTCTTACGTGAATTATATATTTGATTTCCACTATGAAAAATAAGTGCAGAATTATTAAATAACTATTTGTTATTATATATTTAATATTATCACTTTTTTTAAATTTATTCAAATTTAAATTTAAATTTAAAAATATTATAAAGATGTCTTGTAAAGTTTTTAGAAAAAGATTAAATAAGCAGGCTATCAATATTTTATTTCTAAACAATTTAGATTCATATTATGAAGTAACTATTATAAATATACAATAGTTACTTTGTAGTTAATAAAATAAAAATGTAGTTTTATAATATATATTATATTATAAAACTACAAATATACTAATTATATTCTAATAAAATTAATAATATTATTTTATACTTGCGTCTTTTATACTTGACTGTAATTTACTAATTGCATCTTTAGTTAATTAATTTTCCTTAGAATTCGTGTTACAAAATGTTATAAAACCGTGTTCCTGAGATGTTTTCATTTTTGACTTGCCACAAGCTTTATAATTTAAAAAAAAAAATCATTCCTCATGTACGCGAAGAAAAACTTTTATAATATATAACATTATATATTCTCGGAGTGTTCAAGCAGTAGCAGAGAAAATATAATTAAATAAAGTAAAGTTTTCACGAGCATCTTTTTTTTACTTTACATACTTCACCTGATAGTATGAAATCGTTTAATCTCACTTAATTATTCCGAGGGTTAAAATTTCATTGCCATCTTGTATTCATAATTCACTGAAGTTTGATAACAGGCCATTGCCCCATTCATAAACTTGGAAGTTTTTGTCGAAAATATCTGAAGTGCCGATTTTGGGTGTTCATTTTGGGATGGCAATCGAGGACTTCGTTCATACTAATAAAGCACAACTTTTTGTATTCAAAGTTACAAAATTTATGAAGGAAAGGTTTGATTCTTGTAGCTTTAGGCAAATGCAAAAATATTCTTAATTTTTTTGTAGAAATTTATGATATATGAATCTTATGGCAAAAAATAGGTTATAATATAAATGAATAAATTAATTAATAGTATTCATATAATCTGGATAAACAGAGTTTTATTTGAAAATCTTATAATATCAAGAGGCTCTACCTTGTATTTACTCAACTGATGAATTTTGTTGTTTTACAATTCCCAATTGCCATTTACAACTGAATTTTTGTTATCTTGCATGGAAAACAAAAAATTAAATGTTTAAGCAACAGTTACTCATATTTATTATATAATACGCAGTGCTACGCTAATTTTCATGTATTGTATCCAAAATTTCCATTATTACATGACGATTATAGTGTCAAGTTTGGCAGATAATGTAGTATAAAATTATTATTCACTGGCCACTATTTAATATTATTAATTTTGGTTTATTATTTATTAAATTGCTAGCTTTCTTGTGATTTAGTTAGAGCTCTGTGATCTCAATCAAAAAATGCCAGATTTGACACTCGCCTCGGAAAGCTTGATGTCAAGCAGCAGTGACACCTGTTCTCACTTGGAAATATAGATAGTAATATGATTCCTACTGTCTTTTCCTGCATTGACAAAAAAATTGGCAGTATTGCCGAAATTTTAATAGTAAATGCATAACCTAGAGATAGGACAACCATTTGGGTTGACATCTATAAAAAGCCACATCAATTCAGAAGTTAGGATCATTAGACTCGTTAAGTTCTGATAGATATTAAAATACTATTTATAAAATAATAAATAAATTCGCAGCCCGTCTTTTAAAATAGCATTTATTTATTTTGACAATATATGTAGACTATCGTATTAACCATTGAGTAACTATAGAAGTACTAAGAAAGTTACTACTAAGAAAGTATTTACAATTCATATTGGTTAAATTCAAATCTGCAATCATAACAATTATTTAATATATTTCCACATCACAGATCCACAAAATAAAAATAAAATGTCTCTATTCCATGTGCGGGATATGTTTTCCAATGTAGTTTTTACCGCTAAACACGATTCTAAAGTCAAAATGGCAAAAAATTGGCAAAAAATAAAGAACAACAAAGACAAAATCTCCAATCTAGTAATTCTTCTGCATAATAATCAAAATCTTATAATTTCTGTCTTTTTCTGGCCCCTTCTACCCGAAATGAGTTTCAGTTAAATGATCTATTAGGTTTTTTTGTATAATTCGACAGTAATTTGTAAAAAATATTTTTTCCCGTGCCCCTGGGTAATCTGCTGCCATGTTTGCAATTTGAATATCAAAAAATACTGCTATATACTACAAATAAAACTTAATAGATCATCTAAGTGAATATTCAATAGTCATTTAAGGCAAAAAGGGCCAGAAAACGACGAAAATTATAAGATTTTAAATATCATGCAGAAAAGTTACTAGTACGGAAATTTAGTCTTTTTTTCAATTATTTGCCCTTTTTTATTTTGTTTTATTATACAGAGCAAACTACACACAACACATTAAGCTACTTAAATAGGTAAATTTGACTTCCCAGATATTATATGGTTTTGGTGCAGTAAATTATTGCAGGTTCTTCTTTTAAGTCACTTTGGCGGTAAAGGCTTAGGCGGTAAAGAACAACAAAGACAAAATCTCCAATCTAGTAATTTTTCTGTATAATAATCAAAATCTTATAATTTCTGTCGTTTTCTGGCCCCTTCTACCCAAAATGAGTTTCAGTTAAATGATCTATTAGGTTTTTTGTATAATTCGGCAGTAATTTGCAAGAATATTTTTATTCCTTGCCCCTAGGTAATCTGCTGCCATGTTTGCAATTGGAATATAAAAACTAGCTGTAAGTGGAATTCTGTCTTAAGGCAATTAGGGCCATCGTGCCTTAAGGCAAATTGCTGGAACTTCCCGTACCAAAAATTATTATTTTTTCAAAAACGAATAACATTTTTGAAAAAAATTTACTTCGAAAAAAATAGATTTTTGAGAAACTATAAAATTTGACAAAAAATTACTTTTTTTTAAAAAAAAAAATTTTATTTGAAAAAAAAAAAATTTTTTTTGAGAAAATTTTTTTTTTTTTAAAACAATAAAATTTTTGAAAAAAAATGTTTTCTTCATTTGACATATTTTGGAAATTCTGAACTTTTTTTCAAAGCAATCGCACTGCTTGAACTGCATAGAGACGAAATGTCAAAGCTCGCAAGTGCCGCGCCGCCGTCTAACGCATAAGCATTGGTACGGAACCCATAGAAATGTAAAAAAAAATTATAAATTTTTGTTAAAATCTCTATAAAATATCTGATAATTTGATGTGCATATGTCTAATGATCATTTTTAACCGCCGAATGGCATTTTTTTTTACTTTTTCATTAGATCTCCGAAACCGCTAGACCTGCCTTCATGAAAATTTGATCAAATCTACATCTTGTCAATACAAGTAAATATTTTTTGAATTTTTCAAATCGGACGCTCCGTTCTCTTAAAAACTGAGTTACCGTTTTCGGCACTTTTTGCCCCGTATCTTCGGAACGGCTAGACCTGCCTTCGCCAAAAACTATCAGCACGTCTCCTTATCAATACGAATCGAATGTTTTTTGAATTATTCAGATCGGTTGATCGGTGTTCCCGAATCGTCGACGAAAATTTGTATCCGCAACATACATACACACACGTACATACATACACACACACATACACACACACATACACACACATACACACACACATACACAACACACACACACACATACATCCATTTTTCTAAGGTATGCCAAAATGTTCAGAAACCTCTGAAACGTAAAGATATATAAAAATTTTCATTTTCGATTTTTTTGCGATTACTATAACTTGCCCTACGGGAAGTTAAAAATACGGTATATACTACAAATAAATCTTAATAGATTTTTAAGTTAATACTCAATAGTCATTTAAGGTAAAAAGGGCCAGGGAACGACAAAAATCATAAGATTTTAGGTATCATGCAGAAGAATTACCAGTATGGAAATTTTGTCTTATTTTTCAATTATTTGCTTTTGTTGTTTTGTTTTATTTTACATAGCAAATTATACACACAGACATTAAGCTATACTTAAATAGGTAAATTCGATTTGACAGCATGTGAAGGATCGCTATAGCACCTTCGCAGATATTATATGGTTTGGTGTAGTAAATCATTGCAGGTTCTTCTTTAGAGTCGCTTGGCGGTAAAGGCTTGGGCAGGTCGCACGCTAATTATTGGATGACGACTTAGACGAGTCTTGTATCTGGAGCAGAAATGATTGATTTCTTCTTCTACAGTTATAATTCTAAGATCTTGATGTATTTGCCATTTGACCCTCAATTTTGACTTTAGATTCGTGTAGAGCAGTAAAAACTACATTGGAAAACTTATGTCGCACACCCAATACTGACAACTTTTTATATTTTGTAGCCATTCATAATTCTATCATTTATGCTAGTATGTCAGTTTGTTATGATTTTTCCCACATGTGGTGTAAAGTGTTAAATTTAATTAATAACCTTATCGTTATTACCTTTCCAGGAGCGTCAGTTTCTGTGCGCCGCGATCTGCGTCGAGACCGCGGTCTCGGGTAGCTTCTATCTCCTGCGTGATATATATTCGAGATAGCAATGCTTCACCCCGACCTCGTGTTCCTGGCCCACTTCCTGCGCTCTCAGCTGACTTGCACGATAGTTTTGCTGCTGATTTTCATGCCCAAACTGGTTTTCCAGCGCAGACAGGTGAGGATAAAACGAGAGTCGGTATGTATAGCATGAATTTAAATTATAAGAAAACTAGTAGTGCATGGTATCGTGATTTAAGGCTAATTGCTGGAACTTTTCGTATTGTAAATTAAAGTTTTTAAATGATTTAAATGATGAGAATAGTATTTTTTGAGAATTATGATTATTTTTTGAGCATTTTTAAAAAATTTGTGTAAAATTTGATGATTGAAAAAATTGGCAAATAATACTCTTTTAAAAAATAGTGATATTTTTTAAAAACTTAGAATTTTTTGAAATCTTGAAAATTTGCTGATATTTTTTGCCTTTTTTCTGAAAACTTTGAAATTTCTTGATAGTTCTTGATACCCATTCATATCGGTTGATACTGACTGTTAAAATCTGCTAATATCTCATTTTTGTCCGCCATATGGCTTTTTTATTTTTTTCTGGATCTCCGAAACCCCTAGACCTGCCTTGGCTAAAATTTAATAAATTCTTCATTACATCGATACAAGTGGAATGTTTTTTAAATTATTCAAATCACAATCTCATTTTTTTCTAAGGTATGCCAAAATGTTCAGAAACCTCTAAAACGTAAATATGCAAAAAAAAATATTTTCAATTTTTGGACTATTACTATAACTTACCATACCGAAAATTAACAAGGAATTATGAGAAACAAGTTTGATGTAGGTTTATAATTAAAAGAAATAACTGAAAGAAAAATATAATATTGTTGATCAACTTAAAATACGTTTACAGCTAAAAATCGTATGATAACACCTTTTGAGTATGTAAAATCAAACTCATTAAGTGAAAGTGAATACATGGTTATTTATATAAGTTTAACAATATTATTTTTAGTAAATCAGACAAAGTTAACTCAGTAAAAAATCCTGCATTTATTTATGATTTTAGTTTTCTGAAAAAGATGAGCATTTTGCTTCAGAAAAATGAAGGCACATACACACACACACACATATATATATATATATATATATATATATATATATATATTAATTCACTCTTTTTGCACTAATTGTTAAATAATAATTTTACAAACGGTTTGAGACTAGGTTTGTCTCACCATTAGTGTGTTATAATTTTAAAATCTAAGTTGAAAAATTAACTGGGCCCTATTCCTTCTCTTTCCTATTTGATAATGCGTTACTTACCACTTGACCTTGAATAGAGAATTCAGAATCCGACAATCGTTAGTGGGGCAGTATAATGAACGACTTGTAACGGATAACACATAATGCTAATTTAGGTTTCCATATTTTAGATTTTAAAATTATAACGCACTGATTATGAGGTAAACCTAGTCAGGTGTTGATAGATAGATATTAATTTAGAAATAATATATATATATATATATATATATATATACACATATATACATGAGCTTTTAAGCAAACCAGAGCTTTGGTTTATCTGTGACTATTTTTCGGGTAATTTTAATCAATTTTATTCATTTAAACTTCGGATTCTAAAAATATGATTTACGGCTATGGACTCAAAGTTTAAATAAACAAAAATGAAAGAAATAATTCTTAAGTGTAGAATCGTTGAAACAGAAAAATATTGATATTAATCCATTTTTAATTCACGAAAAGTCAATATAACTATTTTCAAATAGTTGACGTATTCTTCATAAAAAAAGAATGAATAATCAATATTCTGTACTTATGAGCAAAATATAATAAATTTATTTGCAAAAACATTTAAGTATACCAGATATCCTACAAATCGAATACTATGCTATCAAAGTTTAATTACAAAGCTTAATTCAACGTTACAGGCAGTTTTGAAACTTGTGTACATTGTAATTGCATATATTGCGAATTCTAAATGTTTATATACATCTATATATATACTTTGCCCTGACTTCGTTAAAATACCTTTACCACTATTTACTTTACAAGTCAAATTCGGGAATATTCGATCTAATAATTATGACAATTAATAATGAGTAATCCTGATGATATATTCTGCAGTAATAATATCAATACCAATTGATAATCTATTAATTTACCAAATTAACGATCCGCACGATTCGATTCTGGAGATAATTTAATTCGTGTGCCAGCATCATATTAACTCTCGACTCAGGTTATTAATTCAGTAACAAGATCATGTAACAGAGAATTCTCTTTCTCGTCCATCTTCATCTTACTGTGTAATTAATATTAATATTTATAATGATGCATGTATGATAATTAACAAAACGTGTATAATAAGTAGTATTTACGTAAAATAATAATTATACCTTTTCCTGAAATATTTTTAAATGTAATGGAGGAATTTGAACCTTGATGAGAGGTTAGTTTGGAATCTATATTATAACTTCAAAGTTATATTTTCACAAATTTTACTAAAATATTGGAAATATTGGAAATATTTTATTACATATATTTACAAAACGTGTATAATAAGTCATATTTATTGATGCATCTTCGAGTTAAATATCCCATTCAGTATCCAAATATAATATTAGCTCATAGATATTTTATTAGTATATAAGTATTTTTAACTCTCAGTAATTAAAATAAAAAACCCGGACTCACGGAGCTTTAAGCTCGGCTCTACTCCATATTTATACCAATTTTTATATTTACATTTACTTTCTTATTCAGCTGTATAAAATGTTTTTAGTAAAAAATTAAGCTTTTTTATCAACTTCGACAAACCCAAAATTAAAATTTTCAACTATTTTTTTCTCACTTGCTTCAGTGCAAATTTCATTTTACTATATATATTTATTAAACGTTAATTATTAAATTTAAATAATTCCTATTATTTTCCTTATGGAACTGTGCACAATGTCACAAATAAATGAATATATTAGTTTTATAATGTTTTCAAAGCATTTGCAATTTGTATCAAATTTTTAATTAAAAAAAGTTTTATGCATGTTGAATGCGAAACTAAAACAAATAACATTTTGGATTAGTGTGATGTTTTATTCTTAATTGAATGTACATGTTATATATATATATATATATATATATATATATATAATTTGTGTATATGTAGATGTGTTTTCATGAGTTTATAAACCAGGAGAATTACGAACATTAGAGCATATTGTTTCTCTCTGATGTAACACATTTGTGACCTCATTCTTTCGCTTGAAGAATTTTCTATACTATATATAAGCTTATTTAAGCTTTTCTTTATGTTCTATGAAGAATTAATCTTCGTTACTTTTAAAATTACGCGGATCACATAATTAAGCAAATTAGTCTTCACGTCCATCTCTTGAGATCAAGCATATTATGAAACGTGTGAATTTAGCAGGTGCCAAAACTTTTTGTAAATATTATAACTTATTTTGATATTATTAATAATTTGCATAGTATTTCTACATATTTTAGTTACCAATATAAACGCATTTATTTCTTATCTACCAAAATTTCAAAAAATTGAATGTGAATATTGGTACCGGTATTGTTTTGTTAAACTGAAACACATTGAAACACTTTAAAATTCAGAAATCTGAATATTTTATTTTTAATTTTTCCATAAGAATTTATAACATATATATAAATAAGTTAATTTTTACAAACAATAAATGCAGCAAAATACTAACGTTTTATAAATGAAGTAAGAATTCAGTTATTAATGTGATTGATACTTTACGTACTTTAAAATGTACTTTGAATGTACTTTCAAAGTAAATGTACTTTGAAATCATATCGAATTTTACTTTAAAATTTCTGTAATATAAACTAATAACACTCAGTATGTGTCTGATCTAAATATCTACAAAATTTGATTTTACAATATACTTTGTACTAGAAGGTAAACATCAAAAATATGTTTTCAATAAAAAAACTATTATTTCGGGCAATGTGGTGTGAAATGACAATGTTAAATGTTTCACACTATTTTTTCTCTGAATCGAGTTGGAGTTTAACTCAGCTCACGAATCTGTCCTAGGGGCAGTATTATTTAATGATAACAGTTTCTATGGTTTTTACTCATCTTAGTCTTTTTATTAAATTTGAACTATAATAACATATTTATTGAGGAAAATGCAATTTATTACAAAAATCATTTTGTCCATTTTCTACAAACGATTTTAAAATAGCAGTTCATAAGTTTTTTTTAAATTTTAACTTCATCTCCATCTGTATATATAATTACGTTTAGCATAGAATGCTGACGAGTTGTTTACAATTCATTATTCACAAATTAGTAGATACCCCAGTGGCGTATCTACTACAGCTACTATAATAAAAAAAAACTAAAAACAAAAGGGAAAAAACAATAAAATTAGTAAAATGAAAGTATTATAGTTAATTAAATTATATTAAGCCTCAGGGTATTTTTCTTTTGAGCCTGGTCGGCTGGCTTTCCTGATATAAATGACATGCTAGTTGGTTAGGATGGACGTCAATTCTGTACCTATAATAATGGCAACCATTGATATCAACCAATATTGATATCATTGATAGCATCCAAATGTTCTTGAATTGTAGGTATGCCTGTGTCTTTGTGTTCATGAGTAAGTCGTTTGTTATTTTTGTGATATCAGCACATCATAAAGCATGAGCCAAAAGGAACAAGTCAAGCTCAGGTGGAAAAGGGGATTTCTCAATAAATGCTAGTCTCTACTTTTCACCGATGCATGATAATAATAAATTATTATTACTGTGGTTTACATATGTATTTTTTTTATTCTCTATTTTATCTACAACTGCAGTTAAGAACATTTAGTAAATTTGGGGAAGTTAAAATTGTCAGCCGTAAAGGGTCGTTATATACTATATTGACATGGTGGAAAAACAACTCAATAGTTGTTTTAATATTGACGATATTATATATATATATATATATATATATATATATATGTTTAGTTAAACATTGTATTTTTTCAGCAACGTAAAGAGACCTCGTGCCGGCACTCGAACGCATTTAAAACGCCCAGCGAGATGTACGACTCCGACGCCGGCGAAGTGAGCACCACCGATATGAATCCGGACGACATCCGCGCGGAATTCAGAAGGTAAGAACCAGGCTCCACATATCTCTTCCCTTTGAATTCCTCAAAAAACATCTTAAGATCTCGATTTATCTCGCTTATATATAAACTCGCTTCGAATGTTCGATAAGCTGGAATAAACTACAAAAGCATCAACGATAAAAAACGAGAATTATTTCGATGCGCGCACTTTCGAGACGATTGTAAAATGAGAAATGAATTCCTGTATATATATGTATACATAAAACGGATCTTAAATTCCTAGCGTGAGTTATGGATATGCCGCAAAACTTTAGAAGTTTGTTGAAAATCTGCAAGTGCGAGAAACTATATAAATCAAGTCCATAGTGTTATATGGTTTCGAAAAAACAGATTTATCAAATGTTTTGTCGATTTACATGCATAGCGCATTGCAGGAAATGAAATTATCATATCACATTATAATTTTGTCATTTTGCGAACGTGTATTTATAAGGGAGATTTAAACACATTAAATTTTTTGAATTATAAAATAATTATTTTGATTTCAATTATTATTATATATAATGACATAGTAAATATACAATGCATTTTAAAATTAATCTTTCAATTATGAAATTGATTCCATTTTTTATATTTTTAGATCGGAATATTTAACATTTTTTCAAAACTGTGTTTATAATTAATTTTATAACGCGATGGTTTTTTTTTTTTGTTAATGCACAAAAAGTTAATATAAAACGAATTGAGCAAAAAATAGGCTTTTAATGATATATAACTTAAATGCAGTTTTATTGCTATTATTCATGCAATAATTCCTTTGTAACTTTTAGAAATTCAGTACTAGAATTTCAACATAGATTTTGCACGATTTGCTTGGTAAAATATGAAATATTTATTATTTTCAACAAAAAGGAAAGTTGAAAATGACAGAAATATAGAAATTGATATCTGTGTCATGTTTTTCATGAAATGTATATACACATAAATGTATTTTATTTTAAATTTATTCTTATTTTTTGCAATAGGTGATCACATCAAATAAATTTAGAAATACCAAGACAAAAAATAGTATCTGCTCATCATTAGACTTGAAATAGATACATCCACATATATGTTCCATTTGGAATTTATTGTTAGTTTCAGCAAAAAATCTTCAAATAAAAAGCAGTGTTAAAAATAACAATAGAGATAAACTACTATCTCTGTTTGATTGTTATTCGACTCGAAATAGATACACACATAAATAAGCTTTTAATAAATACCTACTATTTTTGCAATAAATGATTAAATAAATGTAGATCTTAAAAAATATCAAGATAAACTAACTATCTGTTTGATTATTACTTGAAATAGGTACACGTATTAATAAACTTTACATAAGTATTTTCTATTTTCTATTTATTTTTAGTTTTAGCAAAAAGTGAGCAAATAGAAATAAGCTGCTTGGAAAATATCCAGACAGAAATGATTATCTGTTTAATTTTTGCTCCACTTTAAAAAGATACGCAAAAATATATTTTCATTTTCATTTTATCCTTTTAAAATGACCAAGTAGCGTTAAAAATATTGAAACTCTACTACTCTCTATTTAGTTATCAATTTATACGTAGTTTTACCAAAATATTTATACTAGCAAAAAAAGTTTGAAAACATCCTACCAAAAAATATTTGGTTAATTATTAATTGTCTTGAAATTTATCATCACATATAAGTGTTCGATTCTAAATTTATTATCAGTTTTAGCAAAAAATGTTCCAATAAAAAGTAGGTACAACAATTTCAAAACTTATACTATTATGTGTTTAATTATTTTCTTGACTCAAAATAGATATTCATTATTTTGAGTCAAGAAATAAATAAACAGATAAGAGTACTCGTATAAGTTTTGAAATTGTTGTACCTACTTTTCATTGGAATTGTACATACAAATACATTTCTCTAGATACAATTAAAATATATATGTTTTTTTATATATAGAAAATTGGAAGAAAAATAAAGGTTTGCCTAGTGGCATACACTCGTTTTAGGGTTTGTCGGTTTTCAAAAACATATTTCATAGATTTTACCGGGTTTTCCGTTAAAAGATATAAAATTTCAAAACCTGTTTTTAATTAAAAAAATCGATTTTCAATCTACAAATGGGAAATGATGAGGAAAAAGGTTTTTAGAATCATATCAATTCGATAAGAAGTGGATATAGGACCATTATGATTTCAAGAAATGTTGTATTAACTAATTTAAGCCAAAAAAAAATTTTTTTTTGAAAAGACACTTTTGTTTCTTCGAACTAAACAGGTTTTTTGGAAAAATTATTACTCGAAATCCAGGTTTTTGAAATATCGGTTTTTGCTCGATTTCTTCTAAGTTCTAGCTAAATTTGACCACATTGTAGGTAGTTATTAAAAATATCAAGACAGTAACCATTATCTGTTCAATTATTACTCGACTTCAAATAGATACACATACATGAATATTTGATTTTCAAAGCTTTGTTTGTACACATTTGATATTTAGCCCGAATCGTTCTATATTGAAATCGTTAAAACGGATGATATGCCGCAATATCCAACAAAGCAATTCCGTTGCAATATATTAATCGATGCACGTTTGGATTAAACAACTCAATTTACAGACAACCGATGCTATCCATTGGAACATTTCCAAATTTAAATTTGCTACCAGTTTCGGATAACAAATATATTTCGGTTTCTATTCTCTTCGGCGATATGTGATCGGAATTCATTCCAATAACGATGATAAATTGAATAGGTGGAACAACTTGCAACATTTATTCGAAGTTGTGGTCATATTTTACAGGTTCAATTTTATTTTGTAAAAAAATGTCATATATTTCGTATTTTATCGTAGTTGTTGTAACACGAATCGGTTTGTAAAAAATTACTATAAATATATTTTTACAGAATCAGATGAATATTCAATTGATTTATTATTATATCAAATGAGGCGTCCATTAACTACTTGAGGTTTTTAGGGGGATGGAAGGATTTACTAATGGGGTGTATGGCATCGTGCCTTAAGGCAAATTGCTAGAACTTTCCGTACCGTAACGGAATGTTCGAAGAATACTGAATGTTTTCAAATAGATTATTATTAATATTCTAACATTATCTAATATTTAGAGGAATTATATAAACTAAATTGCAAAGTTGAAATTATTTGCTTAAAGTTAGAACTATAGTCAGAATTAAAAATGAAATCTGAATTATTTTCGATATACAAAAATTTTTTTTTTGACAAAAAGAAAAAAAAAGGGTTGAAACAATTTTTTTTTTCTAAAATCAATTATTTTGTTAAGACAAGTAGAAAGAAGTCTTTGAATCATATAAATCGGACGCGTAGTTCTGTCAAAAACTGCAATTTTTCACACATTTAGCTCCGTATCTTTGAAATGGCTGGGCCTGCCTTTACCAAAAACTAATAAACAAATAAAATGTAAGATTTTGTGTAGTTACAAATAAATTAAGGTCTAACAAAACAAAATAATACAAACAAAATTCAAGAAATGCCGAATATGGGCTATAATTTACGCATGCAATCTTATTATTAACTAGTTGGTTTGGTATTTAGCCTTGAAGCAAGTTACATGAACTTCCCGATATGTGTAAATAATCGATTTAATCAAAAAAAAAAGTGTGAATAATATATTTCATCAATCCTACTTTAACTAGTTGGTTTGGTATTTAGCCTTGAGGCAAGTTACATGAACTTCCCGATGTGTGTAAATAATCGACTTAATCAAAAAAAAAGTGTAAATAATATACTTCATCAATCCTACTTTAAAAAAAACGATAATAATTTTAGAAAAGTTTGACGAATTTTTAAAATTAAACTACTTGTCGTAATACTTGGCCGTAATATTACAGTAAGTTCTATAAGACCATGATGTATATCGCCAAAAAAGTTCTATGAAAATCGGCTTAAATTTTTTTTTCAACAGTTCATTACAAAAAAACGGCTCGGTAGATTTTTACCTAAAATTAATCAGTACCATTCCCAACTAATATCTTTCGAACAGTTTTTGATTTTTTAAAATCGGTTCGGTAGGATGAACTTAAATGTGGACGAAAAGTTTAACACTTTTTATCAAATTGCAAAGAAACGGCTTGGCAGATCGTCGCACAAAACTGACAAACGATAGTCCTCACCGAAATACATCAAATGACTTTTAAATTTCTAAAAGCGGTTCAGGCGTTTTTGAGAAAACGTCGATCAAAAGTCTAATTTTGACAAATGCCAAAAAAACGATACCAATTTTTGTAACCTTTGACGAATTTTCAGAGCTGAACCAGTTGTCGTAGGGCCGTAATATTTTAGTATGATCTAGAAGACTATAGATCTACCATCAAAAAATATCATAAAAATCGTCGAATTTTTTTTGAAAACTTTATTACAAGAAAACGGCCCGGCCGATCTCTACCAAAAAACTAATCAGCACGATTCCCAACCAATAACTTTCGAACAGTTTTTGAATTTTCAAAATCGATTCAGAATTGCGGGCTAAGACGTAGACAAAAAACATTCATTTTTCTGCGATTATAAAGAAACGGCCTGGCCGATCGTCGCAAAAAACTGACAAACAATAGTTCTCGTCGAGAAAACGTCGATTTACGACAAAAAATCTGTTCACATACACACTTACACATACTTTTTGCAAATTTGATCTCATTCGATTCAGAATGGCTTGAAACGTCGAGAAAACATAAAATTAGAGAATCGGATTTTTTTGATGAAAACATAAACTTCTTCGGGAAGTTAAAAAAATGTTTTTTTGCAAATATCTCGGGAACGTTGCACCAGCAGATGCATATTTTAGATACGCATATTTCATTCATGTACATCATGATGCTATGTTGAATATTTTCCTAGCTATAGGCGTTTAACTGTTTCATTTTTATATCTAGTTTTTATAGTAATAATACAGTTAATTAACTCTAATTAATTCGATATACATGTAAAGTAATCAGTTAAGTGGTCCATTATTACGATATAATGACGATGTGAATTATACAGAACCGGTGACTAAATTTGGAGTATGTATGTAAAGCAACCCTTGATATTATGGAAAAAAATAAGGGTTATACTATTCACTAAAATCATTTTAATGCGATTTCTAATTTATATTGATTAATCAAACTTGTATATAAAATTGTTCTTATTCAATCATCATCAATCATTTCATTCGAATTTTGTAAATGAATCATTTTTATTTTAATTGGTATTTTCTTTTATTTTTTGTATTAGCGTTTTTTTTTTAAAAAAAAACTTTCTATACAATATTTGATGTACGATTTTTTTCTCATGTCTTTCTCATGTTTTTAGAGATTTAATTTTCGTTATTTAATAAACGTTCAACAATTTTAACGTAAATTTGAATATTGAACATAAATGTCAGAATATATATATATATATATATATATATTATATATATGATATTCGCCTTTTTGCTTTTTGATATATATTTGCTATTACATTTTTTGGTAAAATATTTATTACTAAATCATACATCAAGTTAGTTACAACTTATTTCGTTTATATTATATGAATATAAATATATTATTCTAAATTAAATAAAGACTGAAGTTCAATCATTGATAAAATAGTTAGTCGAATTATTACTTGTTATATCTTTCCATATAACTCGAAATTGTAGAGCCACCAGAACGTACGTTATAATAGCGCTTAATATCTGAAAATATAGTATTTAGAACAGAAATTATTTAAAAATTGATAATATAAAAATTAGTATGTATGTCTTACCGATCCTAATATTCCAATTGTTAGATTGAAAACCCCTGAAGCGGAAAACATTGGAGGATTGACGTGAAGTCTTTTGAAAAATTACTCTATCTGTAATAAATAAAAAAGTCTTATTAAAACTTATAATTTTTAAAAGGCCTTTTGCTTTTTGAAGGAAACGTTCAAATTACAAAAACATAAAGACACACAAAACTAGATTTTTTTATTTATTTTGATATTCTAATTATATATTGTTTTAGCATATAAGTTGATTTCTGACAAATGGTGTGAAATTATTCAGTTACGAATTTGGCTTAATTCAGTTGCAGCCAATTTTTTTGTAAAATGCACATATCAAATGAAATTTTGTACTTTTATTTGATTTAATTATTAACTGTTATATCAACGTGAAATTTGTTTCTAAACTTATTAATTCACTTTAGGATCTGATATACTTAACATATACCTACTCTAATAATAGTTCTCTATAACATATATTTATAAGATGAAGGTAAATTGGACATCCGCAAGGAACAAATGAGAATGATGCTATAATATATATTATTGTAAATTACAAATTAATTCACTTAACTGCACTCAACGCCGTGAAAAGAACACATGAGAGCAACATGTTATATAAGCTAAATAATCATTGCTCCTGATACTCAGAAAAAACACAAGCAAGCGAGCGTGGGCTCCTGATACTTGAAAAAATCGAAAAATTCGAGAAGTCCAAAATGCATATAGATTTGTTATTCAATTCTATTTATTATTTTAAAACGTTTTAAAGTGTTTATAATATTTGTATTAAAATATGTTTATATTGTAGTTTTTTTAATTATTGAAAAAGCGTATATCTCGCAAACGGTAAGAGGTATCTTAAAAATTCTTATACTGGGTTAAAGATCTTTTGATTTAGAATATTTCACCTGGAAACATCAATATCCTACGATGAATTGTTCAAAAGTTATAAGCGCTTAAAGATTTCCTTAGTAAAAAACGCTCAAAAATGGACGAAAAATTTGTTAGTTTTTTTTAATTTTCACAGGCTTCCCGGGCACGTAGAAGCTTCAATGAAACGTCAGATGAATCGTTTTGTGGGCTAGAATAACGTGAAAAAAACGACATTTTAATATTCTCAACGGTTGCCGAATAAATGAGAAAAAACTGAAATTATAGCATGATGCTAGGGTCATGAATTGTCTTTTGTGGGGAAAAAAAAAATTGCGTCCGATTTTGATGATTTTCGCACCGTAGGTACCCTATGACCTCAGGAAGATGCTGTCAAAAAATTTTGATGTACTACTTCAAATAGTTTTCGAGAAAAAACGCATTTTTATCTTTGAATGATAATGAAAAAAAATCGTTTTTTGCAAATATCTCGGGAACGGTTGGAGCTATCGTCAAAATTTTTGCACCAGCAGATACATATTTTAGATACGCATATTCATTCATATACATCATGATGCTATGTTGAATATTTTTTAGCTATAGGCGTTTAACTGTTTCAAACTTAAAAATTTCAACTCGTTTTTTGCATATTT